GGGTGGGGGGGAGTCAAATCCCCCATCCCCAACCTCCTGAGATGTCTGCACGGCTCAGCCAGAGCCAGGCTTCCGTCCTCTCATTCCAGGTGGCTTCCTGTTCGTTACTCTTGCCCCAGGGTTCTGATTTGAAGGATGGAGGGGACTGATATTTGTGAGGGTCCCAGCAGAGGGCCTGGCTCACCCAGTGCCCAATAAATGATGGCACTCCCTCATCCTCCTCATGCCTGTGTGGACACTACAAAGACAGGAAGATGAGGAAAGGATTTCTTGGTGGGAATGGCCCTTGCTCTCTCCAACAGCTTTCTTTTAAATCACTACGTTTAAACCATGTGTCGTGGTGAGGAGCCCTGTTTCAGGAAGTTCTGGGAGTCACAGGGACAAAGTCTGGCCTTGCAGCTGGCAGAGGAACGTGGGGGTGTGGACACTTGTGTGCAGGCTTGCCGCGCCCACACAGGACAAAGTCCAGACCCTGCGCCAGGCCTGTGGCCAGCCAGCCTGGCTTATCTGTCCAGCCTCTCTCCTCCCCCTCATCTCTGGTCTTCTGGTAAGCTCCTGGAAGCTGAGCAAACTGGTTCTTTAGGATCTGAGAGAATACCCTTTTACTAAAAGCCTGCTCTTGGGGAAGATGTTACTTACTCTTTGGGCCTCTACTTTTCCATCAGCTGAATGGGGCTAAGGAATGCAGCCGGTCTCCCCAGCTGAGCAAATGAGGCCTACCACATATTCAAGAGCTGACGATGCTCTCTGTCATGTGAGTGGTCCTCCTTGGAGACCAGCTCACTGACAGGGAGGTTTCCAGCTGCTCCCTAGGCCTTAGAGCTGGCTCCTCTCCTGTTCCTGTGGCTCTATGTGCTTCCCTGTTGCCTTCAGCAGTGTGTTGCTAGGTGCCGCTGCACTCCAAGAGCTCCTTGATCTCCAGGGGCTGTGGTTTCCCCTGGCGGTGCCTGGCACACAGATGGTGCTTGATAAGTGCTTGATAAACAAGCACAGACCGTGGAATTCCACTGCCTTTGTGGTATCTAGAAGGCAGAGAGGGGCCCCTCCACCTCCCCCCACCTCCTGCCTATTCTACAGCAAAGCCTTAATTCCTGTCCCCGGAAACAGGACCTCCCCCGCCTCCCCTTTTGGTCAACCCTGTCTCCTTGGGATGATTAAGCTCTGTATTCTGATTAGCCCCTTTCCATCCTATGCGAGATCGGCACTGATTTTAAGCCAGTCCCTTTATTTGTGTTATTTTATTTGAGCTCCCCAATAACCTTATGGAGTGAGCACTTGTTACCATCATCCCCATTTTACAGATGGAGAAACAGGGGCCCAGAGAGATGAAGTAACTTCTCCAAAGTCACAGATCCAGCAAGCAGGGATTTGAACGCAGCCAGTCGGATGCTGGAGCGCATGCTCTTGAAGCTCTGGGCGGGCGGGGGGTGGGGTTGGTATTGTGAGAGTGTGAGCACGAAGGCGGAGGCTGCTGCGGGGACCGGGCGCAGAAGCAGATGGAGGAACAGGGACGTGGAGGCAGGAGCCGGGTAGGAGTTGGCCGCGCCGGTGGGCGGGGCTACGGTGAGAGCCGCGGGCAGTGGGCGGGGCCTGACAGGCAGGCCCTCCCGGATCCCCGCGGGAGTCCGTGATGCTCGCGAGGCTGACTGACAGCGGTGTGCGGAGTGGGCTGGGCCGGGCCGGACCGGGAGGGGGCCGGAAGGCCGGCTCCGCTACGTGGCGGCCTCGGGCAGGCTCGGCACTAGCCACCAGCCAGCCCCGGGGCGGCGGGACTTCCCTAACAGGCGCCTCCCTCCGGGTTTGCTCCAGCTCCGACTAGTGTTTATTTAAAGCTGGATTTACAGGTCACCAGCTGCAGCGAGCGATGCAGCGGGCGCTCTTGGAGACTCCGGCCACTCCAAGAGGGTGCACTCCCCCCNCATCTTTCTAAATTCCATATATATGCGTTAATATACTGTATTGGTGTTTTTCTTTCTGACTTACTTCAGGCCTTAACCTTTCTAAGCATCAGTGTGAAAGTGAAAGTCACTCAGTTGTGACCAACCCTTTGTGACCCCATGGATTATACTGTCCATGGAATTCTCCAGGCCAGAATATCAGAGTGGGTAGCCTTTCCCTTCTCCAGGGGATCTTCCCAACCCAGGGATCGAACCCAGGTCTCCCGCATTGCAGGTGGATTCTTTACCAGCTGAGCCACAAGGAAAGCATCAGTTTACCATCCCAGAAATGTGGATGAGATGCTTATTTACCCTCTGAAGGTGTTTTGAAGATTAGATCTAATATTTGTTGAGCACTTACTTTGTGTCAGGCATTATTTTTAGGGCTTTGCTCTGTTTTCACTCAATAGCTTACCAAGTTGTTATAAGTTGTTGTTCCCTTTCTGTGAGTGAGGAATGGACACTTAAAGAGGTTAACTTTCCCAAGGTCACGCCATTTGGAGCCCTGGGCAGAGTTATCCCATTGTCTGGACCAAGGTCCCTGCCCTCCCCTGCCTCTGTTCCAGGAGGCAGGCGCCTACCATTCACCAAGATCCCCACAGTGGGAGCCCCCACCCCATAAGAAGAGGGTTGTCAGAGATGACAGCTGTCTCCCAGTCTCTTCCTGAGACTAAATTGTGGTAAGTGTCCTCACCACAAAGTACACGTGTTCCTTTTTTTAGACAGTTCAGGGACCACTCAGGGGCCAAGTGGAGCCATTATAAGAAGAAACCAGGAGAATATGGGATTAGAGCCTGTCCTGCTGGGCGGGTCCCAGAAGCCACCTCGCCCAGTCCTCTGCGGTCTGTCCTGAGGTCACTGGGCTACTTGAGCTGGAGGTTGTGTGTGGCCGTGGATGGTCCCAGCCTCACACTCTGGGGATCGTCCATCAGATGTTCATGAACTGGGGCAAACCTGCTCACCCCCAAATCTTGTTACTGTACCTGAGGGAGGGGACAGCCACTGGCTAATTTAAAACAGAGCATCCCACCTGGGTGGCCTTTGGCTCCTGCCATCTTCCAGCCCTGCTGGCAGCAGACCTTTTCTCTGTGGCATGATTTGCTGATGTGGCTGCTGTTGGTGGGGGTGGGGGGGGTGGGGCAGTGGTGGGAGGCACCATTTTCTGAGCGTATGTTTGTGAAACTAAAACCCTGCCTGTGAGAACTGTCTGCATGTTGCAGCTGTGAAGAGACATGAGAGCAAAGCCAGGGGAGGCCTTTTGGTGGAACAGCCGGCACCCCTGGGAGGATCCAGCTCTGTCTGGGATCTGGCAGCAGTGGCTGCACCGTGTCCCCTCTCATGGCCCTTTAGGGGAAATCAGGGCCCTGTCATCTCTCAGTTTCCCCTCTCCCCATCTCTCCCTCTTCTCTCTTCTCATCCTGATTTCCAGAAGAGAAGAAACACACCCAGGACTCAGGGGTGCACATGTGGCCACTGGATTTCCTCACCCTGCCCTGCCCCCAGCCTGGGGAGCCGATGGTGCCCCACATGGCCATTGGCTCCAGGCCTGGACTGGGGTGGTCTCCAGTGGGGTCAGGGGGTCCTGGGAGACAAGGAGGCCCTTAAGGCTCAGCGGCCGTGCCCCTGCTGGGCGACAAAAGTGTCCAGCTCCACAGCGTTCTCTCCACCCCGGGCCCTTCCCGAGTCCAGAGGGCTCCAGCCTCCCACAGCCCTCCCCTCGCCTGGTTTTACTCAGACCCAGGGTTCAGATAGCTCTACTGCCTCTCCCTGAGTGATTCTGGGCAAGTCCCTTCCCATCTCCAAGACTCAGTTTCCCCATCCATAAAATGGGAAGTATCCCAGAGCCCACCTCACAGAGTGGGGTAGTGAAGTTACATGAGCTTATGCCCAGAGCCACCAAAAGCACTCTGTTTGGATGTACCATGAATTTCCCCACTCACCAAATGATGCCAGAACAGGAGGCTGTTTATTTTCAAGAAAGATGGCACACATACTTTCATGTAGTGTAGTGCTTTTAGTGATCATTTTTTGAACAACTAGGGAGATATGCTGCCTAAAACAACCTGCATGGGTCCTTCTGGCCAAGGTCATCTGAGGAACCGCTTGAGAGGCAGTTAGCAAGTTTAACACAGGTTGGAACCGATCCTGTGGCGTCATAGGTTCCAGTGTGAGTGTGCACAGATCCTTTGAGGACATTTAAGAACACACAATCTGTGGTTACAGGATGGGGATCAGGCAGGGACACCTCCGATGAATGGGACTGCCAGCTGCCCTAATGTTATGCAAATAGGTGCTCGAAGCTTGGCTAAAAATGCCCATGAAAGCATCCTACAGATTTCAAAAATGTTGCATCGCAGAGAACCAAGAAGGGAGAGAAGACGTGCTTAAGACGACTCAGATGACTCAAAAGGTGGCTTCGATGATGGCAGAGGCCCTGAGCCCACAGGTGCAGTGGATGAGGTGGCAAAAAATTGAGTGACAGGATAGGGTGATGAGAGCACTCTTCTAAAGTAATACATTGTCACACATAACCTGTGATCATGACTTGCCAGCCTCACAGATGGCAAGTAAGTTACTTGTTATAAATAGATAATTAACTATTTCATTGACAAAAAAAAAAGATTATCTTAAATACATTCAGTTAGGTCACACATCCTTTGGATATTTGAGTAGGGAAACAGGGAATTGTTACAGGAAGGGGAATCCCTTCCAAGGGCCCAAGAGTGGGCTCTTATCTAACACTCGGAAATGAATTGTCCGAGGAGAGACACATGCTGACAAAGCAAGAGACTCTATTGGGAAGGGGCGCCCGGGCAGAGAACAGCAGCATTAAGGAAACCAGGAGAAGGGCTCTGCCACGTGGCTCACAGTCTTGGGTTTTATGGTGATGGGATTCATTCCTGGGTTGTCTCTGGCCAACCTTCTGAGTCAGGAGTCCTTCCTGGTGATGCTTGCACCCACTCAGCCAAGATGGCTTCCAGCCAGAAGAATCCTGGGAGGTTGGTAGGACATATGGACTCGAGTTTCCTCTCTCCTTTTGACCTTTCCTGAATTCTTCCAGTTGGTGGTCACTTGTTAGTTCTGTGTTTCTTACCAGGACCTCCTGTTGTAAAACAAGTCATATAAAAGGTTACTGTGATGTCTGGCCACGGCAGGTCGTTTCAGCCAGTGGTTCCCCTACTAGAATCATCCTATTGGGGGGCTTGTTTTTTAGTCTCTCGGTGTCCCTTCACCCCACACATTCCCTTTCCAGAGGGTCCCCGCCCCCATCTCTGTCACCCTTCCTCTGACTGCCTACCCTGGGGATGGCTGCACGTGCCAGGGAATGGACTCCCCTGCACCAGGAGCAGCCCTGAGGCTGTGGCCAAGTGGGCTGGTATGTAATTTCCCCCAGCTCCCTTGTTCCTTGAACAAGCCAATGCTGAAGTCTATGTTCTGCACCGGCCCCCACAGCTCCCTGGGGGATTAAGTGCCCAGGGCCCCAGTGGTTACGCGCTTGACAACACATCCTTTACTGGCCCGACTCCATTCTCCGACTCACTTTCCCTCTCCCGTCCTGGTCCCTCCAGGCTTCCCTTCAAATAAAGAAGGTTGACTCCGTGTTTGTCTCAGGTCTTCTCCTAGGGAAATCCAACCTACGGCAAATGCAGATGATGAAGGATAGCGGTGGTTATCATCACCCATCGTTATTTTGATAAAAGCAGGAAAACACGATTCCTGCTTCAGGCCTCCTAGCCCCAGAGCTGGGGAAGACAGGCGAGGGGGTCTCTTTAGGTCAAATCGGGGAGGGGGAGGTCTGACTACATGTTTATCTCAAAGCAATCTCTAAGTAATTCATCCTCTCCCCCTCTCTCAGTCAATTATATGCTTGAGCAGCTAAGCCCCAAATCGGTCCATCCAGAGCAATTAAAAGCTTCCTTTGCCAGGCCTTGGGGATTTCTCTCTGATCAATGAGAAGAACACCGCAGCTGGAAAGCAGCCGAAACCAAGAACAGGGCGACTGTGTCCTGTTCAGATGAGCTAGGCCACCATTAAAATTTGTTTTTAAAAGTGCCTCTTGTTTTCCAATATGGGATGGGAGGTGGGGGGAATGTCATACAAATGACCAGGAATGTCTCATTCATTTTCCAGCCCATTTGTCCCCAGATGGAATTTATTTGTGAAAACCTGTTTTGGGCCCATGAGCCATGGTATTATTATATTTATATCATTATATTTGTAAACACTGTATTCCTAATTATATTTAGAATGAATCATACAGCAATAGCAGTGGAATCATGTAACTTGTAGATACAACGTGCTGGTAACTGTGCTAAGAATGTCACGTATTTTATCTTAGCTGACTCTAATGATACCATGAAGCAGTCACTGTTATGGCTATTTATTGATGCAGCTACTCAGGCTCAGAGAGGTTGAGTAACTTGCCTGAGACCACACAGCAGAAAGTAGCAGAAGAGGATTACAAACCCAGGCAGTCCAGCTTCCAAGCCTATGTTCTTCACCATGAAAAAAGCAGCCTGGCTTTTCATACCAGGAGAGAAGGGACCAGACGGCTTGGCTGACTTTGTTGTCAAAGCCAGGCTCACCCTGACTTGCCTTTCCCCAGGGAGCTGAAACTAGGTGGATTTTGATTCTCAGACATTCCTTCCTGCTGGTCTCTGTCACTGAAATGTCAGAGGGTTCTGTAAACCAGCTTTCCCCAGGTCCCAGTTCCTGTGGCCTCAGAAGGAACCCTTGGGAGACAACTCTGTGTCCACAAACAAGCCAGTTCATACTGAAGCTAGTGCTGCCTGGGAACAGTTTATCAAGAAAGGCAGGATAAATGTGGAAAACACAGGATGCTAGCCCTGCACCCTCTTAGGTGGTCCACTTTTAAGAGAGTGTCCCAGGAGACTCCAGGGTGCCCATAGAATAGGGAGTGGATGAGGAACAAGGAGAATGTTCTGTCCAAGGGACATCTTGGGATGCTACAGGGAATAGTGGTTCCAGTGTCACCAGTCATCATGCACTGTGGGACTCTGGCCATCACCTCTCTGCTCTATTTCCTCCTCAGTGAAATGGGTGGATGGTTCAGAGGAGTCCCGAGACCCCTTTTGTCTCAGGGATTGAGGAGCCTGTTTCCACATGTGGCTGAAACCTCACTCTCTGCTCCCCACGCTTCTGCTCACTCCACGTCCTCGTGCTGGTTTGCATGGTTCTGTGACCCTCTGAGGATGCAGCCGGGCCACTGTAAATGTGTGAGGTCAGTGAAAGGGAAATTCCCTGTGTTTGGATTTGCAGAGTGGGTTTGGCATAGTGGTTCCAAACCAGACATGATTTTGCCCCTTGCCAGCCTCCCCTTGGACATTTGGGAATATCTGGAAATATGCTCGGCTGTCACAGTGAAGGGGAGAATGCTCCCGGCATGGAGTGGGCAGAAGCCAGGGATGCTGCTGAACACCCAACAGTGCATGGGAAAGAGCGACCCGGGCCCCAGTGTCAGTGAGCAAAGTTGAGGAGCCCTGGGCCACAGGAGGCTGGATGGCCCACAACTGCAGATGCCCCGGACTGTGCACGCCCTGGGGCTACCTCCCATTCAAACTCCTTTGCCCCAACAACCAGGAGAAGGCTCCCAAATAAGTACAGCTACGACAAGTCATAGTTATTCCTTTTAGAAAATAAGGAAAACATGCGCATGGTAAGACATTCTACAAAATGGTTCAAAACAGCACACAATGGAGAATAATCATCTCACACCTCCATGTATCCTGGTCTCCCAGTTCCCCTGCCCCACAGGTAACCATCACTCACCTGTTTCTTGTGTTATGTTCATCTTTCCAGGCCTAGAGTTTCTCAGTGTCAGCCCTAATGGCATTTCAGACCAAATGGTTCTATGTCATGGGAACAGTCTTGTGCATTGTAGAATTGTAGAATTGCACATTGTAGAATTGTGCATTGTAGAACTGTAGAATTGTACATTGTAGAATGTGCATTGTAGAATACAAGCAGCACCCACTGGATGCCAAAATTATCTCCAGACAATGACAAACGTCCCTGGGGACCCTGGTCGAGGACCACTGTCCTGGAGATAGCTTCTGCATATTCTCACATGTATGTATTCATGAAAGCACATCTTTCTCTTTTGGGGAGATGGGCACATATTAGATGTTCCATGAATATTTGTTAAAAGAATGGATAGGGATTCCCTGGTGGCTCAGTGGTAAAGACTCTGCCTGCCAGTGCAGGGACACAGGTTCGATCCCTGATCTGGGAATATCCCACATGCCGCAGAACAGCTAAGCCTGTGCACCACAACTACTGAGGCTCACGTGCCCTAGAGCTTGTGCTCCACAACAAGAGAAGCCACCACAATGAGAAGCCTGCACACCGCAACTAGGAAGTAGCCTCCGCTGTCTGCAACAAGGTCTTCCTTCCTGTGAAGCAAGGAAGACCCAGATAGCCAAAGATAAATTTTACAAAATTATTTAAAAGAATGGATAGCTGAGAATTGTTGTTCAGTCGTTCAGTTGTGTCCGACTCTTTGTGACCCCATGGACTGCAGCACGCCAGACTTCCCTGTCCTTCACCATCTCCCGGAGCTTGCTCAAACTCATGTCCATTGAGGTGGTGATGCCATCCAACTGAAAATAAGTCAACTTAAATAATAAATTGAATCCTATCCTAAATGGCCAGTTACATGTATCCTAACACAAGCACAGGATATGAAACATTTTCTTCCTGATTTCCACTTACCAGTTTTGCTCTAAACAGGACCATCTTGTGATGCTCCCCAAACTCTGTTTATCTCACTGCTAAAGGCTGAGATTTGGAGGTTGAGTCCCCAGTGCCTTTGTAGCCTGTTCTCAGAAGCACCTGGAACTGTCCTCCATACGACTTACTCCCTGCACTTGAAGACTGCCTTCCCTGCCCCCAAATGACAGGCTGGGGAGGCATCAGGGAGGTGCCCCATCTACCTCAAGCGGCCCCTCCCATCTGTCTGTCCTGCTCTGCCAACATCTGGCTTTCGTGACAAGCTGTGGCCTTGGTTCCAGAAAGAGTGCCCTTTCTAAGAGGGTGGGGGCATTGGTCCAGCTTGGGCAATCAGCCCAAAGTCCATTTTGTGTGATTCTGGGCGGCTGCCCAGTCTCTCTTCCTGGAGCGCAGCGGGGCCTGGGATGGTCTCTGGATTTTCATGTTTCCTGGAGGGGAGTGGGTGGGGGGTCTAGGAGCTGGCAGGTGACTTGTGTCCACCACCATGGGGACCGGCTCAGGGGTGACACCCTGCCCAGGGCCTGCTTGCCTATCACTCACTCTAGGCCCTGGGGGACTAAAGTCAGCCTTCTCAGGGCCGGTGGGGGAGTGGGGTAGGCTGGGCATTATGATCCACCCCAGGAACAAGGCGGATCAAGGTCAAGAGCCCTGGCTGTCAAGAGCCTTGGTGAGAGGTGTGGCCAGTATGTGTCAGCTGGGAGTTCAGCTAAGGCCAGGTCGAAGGGCCTTCTTTGTGTTGGTTTTAGGTTAATCAGACTTAAGTGGTGGCTCAGGGCTACAAAGACACATGTTCCCAGAGAGACAAACCTTCAGAAGCTGCATGGTTCCATCTAGCCGTGAGGTCCAACCCCAAGGATGAGGTCATCGCTGTGCTTTATGCCAGACTCTACTAGTCGAGTCACAATGGCCACCAGGGTCACGGTGGAGAAACTCAGGCCTCACCTCTTGGCAGGGGTGTGTCGAGGTCATATTGTGGAAGAGCCAGTGGATGGGAGATGCTGCCATCTGTCACCGGTCTTTTACTGGGTCTTCTCCATCCCCATGGCTACAGCCCCTGATCCACTTCCCTGGAACCATGGCAACTGCCTTCCCAGAAGGCACTGACCTTGTACCTCTGTTCTCCTCCTTTCCTCCCAGTGGGTTCCAGCCCCAGGGAACGGGTGAGATGAGAATGCCCCATGAGTAACCAGGAGCCCTCAGTTGCTGAACTCCCCCTGAGGATTCCCTTTTAAGCTTCTCTCAACAGCTAGTTCAAGCCCAAGGCTGGGGCGGGTTCAAGGGACCGGCATGTATTCTCCACCCAAGTCCCTCCTTTCCTCAGTTCCTTCTGTGCTGATGGCTGGGTGGGGGTGGGGCAGGACAGGGAACATTCCGGTGAGTGAGCTGGGTCTGAGTCTGGGCTTTTCGGCTGTCCCAGAACATCCTTCCTCACCCTGGGACCTGTCCTCTTCTTCCTTCCTCCCTTCCTCGCGATCATGTCTGTTGTCACCCCAGGTTCCTCCTTGAGGGGTACTTGGTATCACTTGCAGCCTCTCACTGACCTGGAATCCCTCATGCCTCTGAGACTGCTCTCACATGGTCATCAGCGGCCCCTCATTACCAAAGTCTTTTGGTTCTTGTCTTGTTTGCTTGGCCTCTCTGCAGCATTGAACGTGGACTACCTTCTTCGAGGAACTTTTCTGCCCCACCCCAGACCCCCCATCTCCTCTTACCTCTCAGATGGACTCCTTCTTTCCAGATGCTTCGTTGGTTCTCTCCTGTTGTTTAACCTCATGACTTATCTGTCCCCTATGAGCACTAACTGCAGAATCTATTTCCCGTTCCCTACTCATCTTATGAGCTCTGAATCTCACATTTCCAACTGCCTACTAGCTATCCCAACCTG